TCATGATGGAGACTCAGACTTGTGGGGGGAGGGGGGAAATGGGCATTTATTGAAACCTTAAAATCTGTACCCCCATAATATGCCGAAATAAAAAAAAAAGATGGCAAAAAAAAAAAAAACTATTAGAGCTAATAGATGAACTAAGGTTGCAAATACATAAAATCAACAAATAAATCTATTTAATTTCAACATTAGTAGAAAAATAATAGCAAAATAAAAAATATAATCACATTTATAAGAGCTTCAAAAAATATAAAATACTTAGGCATTTGACAAAAAGATGTAAAACAGGCTCATAATCACATGAAAAAGTGTTCAATATCATCAGCAATTAAGAAACTACAAATTAACAACAACAAAATATCAATTCACACTTACTAGGAAAGGTTAAAATTTAATAGGTTGACATTGCTAAATGTTAATCAAAATGTGGAAAAATTAGAACTCTCCAACATTGCTAGTGGAAATGGAAAGTTATAACACAACTTTGGAAGACTACTGGAAAGAAGGATTGAAGGTTGAGTTAATAAACCAATGGCCAAGGATTTCATCAATTAAGCTTACATATTAATAATTAACATTCCATCCTTCAGGAAGAGTAGGTCTAAAAAGAAAAAAAAATAATTAAAAAAAAAAAATAATTAACATTCCATAAAAACCCAAAAGGACCAAGTTCTGGGGACTTATAGGCAGCTGAACATGTGGAGGTTTGAAAGAATGGTGTGCCCAGAGAGGGCATGGAAACGACATACTGCTTCTTCCAAACCTCACCTTATGCGTCTCTTCCATCTGGCTATTCATCTGTACCCTCTGTAATATCCTTTATAGTAAATAAGTAAATGTAATTGTTTCCCTGACTTCTGTGAGGCACTCTAGCAAATTAACTGGACCAAAGAAGGAGGTCATAGGAACTCCAATTTATAGCCAGTTGGTCAACAGTTCTGAAAGCCCAGACTTGGGACTGGCATCTGAAGTTGGGACAGCCTTACTGGACCTCAACCTGTGGGATTTGATGCCAGCTCCAGGTTCATAATTTGGAGAAAGAAAAATCTCAGAACCCCCTGTCAACTGAAGAATGATGAGGTTCATAAATTTGGAAAGGAGAGCTTTATTTCTCATAAAGAGTTGTAGCCTGCAGGGTGGTCATTCTAACAGTCTGGGAAGCAACTGTGTTGGGCAGAAGCCAAGGTTATGTACTTTGAGGTAACAGTATAGGAAACAGGAATTTATGCTGAGCTGGGTAGCCAAATGTATCTATTTAACAAGCTATAGGAGTGATGAATATTTATGAAGGAGAAACATGTGCACATGCAATTGAGCCTTGTGTCCCTTCATAGGATCCATGTCCAGAAAACAGCAACTTTAACACAATCTGAAGGTAGAGTTTTTGGCCCTCTGATGTCAAAAGGTGAAGTAGAGGACACAAAAACCCTCTTTGAACAGCATCTGTAGACTGCTCAGAACCATTCTGTGGTTGATGTTCACTTATCAGGAAGAAAAGCCTGGTCAGTTGTCATATCGAAACCACAAAAAGGGAGAAGTGATCATGAGACTGGTTTCTGTTTAGCCCATAAGAAAGAAAGCCTGATGGCTGTTAGCAATGGGGAAGTAATAATGAGGTATCTTGGTTGGGAACTCAGTTTTAAGAGTTCTCTGGGGTCCCCTTGACCAAGAGGGAATCCACTCAGTCAGCAGGGGCGCTTAAGATTTTATTTTAGTTCACACCCCAAAATTCATTATGCCAAAGGAAGAACTGAGCTTGTGAAATGAGTCATTTCTGCCATCCTCTCCCAAACTCAATTCCTCAACAAGGTACAGAAGGTTGGTAACAGAAGGAATGGCCTGAAAAGGGGTAAAATGTTTTAGGAGCTGTTTCTTTGAAACCAACTCTACTCTTTCTGGGAATTAAAATCTGAATCCCTGCAGAAGGCCAGTGGTCAGAAGTGCAGGAGAGTATTCTTTGTTTTTTTGTACTGCAGGAGATGGTTCAAAGGAACTGTCTTAAGCAGAGGTCATGAGATTGTGTTTGCTGGAGATGGATCAATCAGAATCATCAACCATAGTTAAACAGCAATACCCTGAAGCTGAAAAACTCACCTATAAAAGCTCTGCATTTCTGCCAATAGTTAGGATGATGGAGGAGAGTGTACCATCCTCCTCATTTGACAGCAAACTAATAAATTTCTCTTTCCTTCTCCTCAAGCCCCTTGTCTTTGTTCTTCTGATGCAGTCTCAGGGATAAGTGCTGAACTTTCAGTAACAGGCTTTTTTATAAGAAATGGAGATGCTTGGATAATGACCAAGAAGGTTTTTGGTGGACAGGTTATGGGACAGAGAAAAGAAGCCTGGATACCAAAGGTGGTCTTGTTATGCAGATAAGCCTCATGATAACAGCCATCAGCGAGAACAGATGATAAATGTTTCAGTTCAGACCTTTAAAGGTGTCAGAGGTGTCGGACTCTCAGTTAATTTTGCCCAGATTGAACAAGCAGGACCTGGCTACATTTAATGGAGATACTCTACAGATGCAAATTTCTCCCCATCCCCCTCAACGACAACTTTGCAGCATTATTTCTGTTTGCCAGCAGCCATGGCAAAATATGTCAAAGAAATGTATTTTAGGGTAAAATATGTCTGATTTCATTTAGCCCTAAAACCTTTCAAGATATGCAGCCCACTATAAAACAAGCACACAATTATAACCGTAACACTGTAGCCTAAATAAACTCTTAATTGTCAATTACAAGCTTATCTGCACAGACACAAGAGATAAGATCAATCACTCTTCTTCTAACCATCCTGGGGAGACTACCAAATTGACTATTTCCTCTACTGCCTTTTTCTTGCATGTCCATCTTATCTTGTATGAAATGTAAATTTACTGAGCACTAAATAGTAGAGCTTCACAAGAATGCAATCATTTGCCTCGCTGCTCACCTCCTCCACTTATTTTTCTGCATACATTTTCCTTTAAATAGGGAATTCTCCAATCCTTCTGTGGAAAGCCCAGTCCACAGATGCTTCGTGGTCTGTGCTTTTCCCAGGCACATCCTAGACTTTGGCTTAATATACCTCAACTGAGTGTAACTCTGCTTTTCAGTCACTTATTATTTAAGTTAACTGTGTCAGAATTGAACTGAAATGGAGGATACCCAGCTGGTATGTGCTGCAGAACTGATTGCTTGGTATATAGGGAAATACCCCCAACACATCTGGGGTCACAGTATTCAGTCAACACAGAAGTATTCTATGTTGTGAGAGTATAGTAGGAAAAACAACGTGGGAAGAACAAGTAAAACCTGGGTCATTTGAAATACTTTTAGAGTATGAGTTAAGTCCTCCCCAAAATGTTTTTACCATGTAACTAATTATGCAGTTAATACATGCTCAGCGAAAGAAAACTAAATACTATAGAAAAATATAAATAGGAATAAAAATAATTTCTAATCCTTTGAGAGATAACCGTAACATTCTGGTGAATATTCTTCCTTTTTTGCACCACAAGTAGGAATGTACATTATTATATCCTGATTAAAGTTAGTATACAATATTCATTTTCAAAAAAATTTGAATACCATTTACCCTTTATTATTTAAATGTTACCTGTATGTTCCTACTTAAAAAAAAAAAGTTTTTATTATATAACCCATAACCATTGTATACAAATGAAATAAAGAAAAATATTACCTCTCTATTAACATTTTTGTGTATATCCTATCAGAACTAAATAGCCATTCATAAATATATAATTACTTATACTTTTGTAGAAAGAATAGAATTGTATAGCTACACATACACATTTTTAGTTATCTTTTTCACACAAAAGACATGGACATCTTTTCATGTTCATAAAGATACATTATCATCATTCTTAATGACTGCATGGTATTCAATTATATCAATATGCTATAATATATTAAACTAACCCCCTATTTAGGACATCTAAGTTGCTTTCAAATTTTTACTACCAGAAACATTGTTACTATGAATCAGCCCTGAATGCAGATTATTGAAAATTTACTATCACTTCAGAATAAATTCTGAGATTTCCTAACCCAAGGATATGCATTTTTAAAATGTTTAATTATGTAGATATATAATATTTTTTAAGCTTTTGGTAGAGCCTAGTAGGACTCTAAAAAGGTTGACAATGGAAAAGAAGAATCAAGTTTCATGATTTCCAGGAAAGGCTCTAGAAGTACAAAATTAGTAACACAATTTTTGCCTGCAAGTACCACAGACCACAGACAATTGTTACAACAATAACAATAAAACAAAAGCAAGTCTGATAATGCATGAGAGAAATCAAGCAATTTTTTCTCAAGAAAGCTAGATTGAGTTAACAGAAGACAATGTGGAGAAGAAATTCCCAATTCAAGAAAATGAATCAAAGATCTAGAAGTGTATACCAAAGTATTCCCAGTAGGTAGCTCACTTATAACCCTTCCTTGAACATGAATTTATTAAAGAAAAGCATACATATAATAAAAGGAAAAAATTAGAACTAGTAAAATTAGTAATCACTAACTCTTTGATATGTCTGACAGAGGAGAAAACTATGAATCAACTGCTAAGCAACTTACAGAAAGAGACCTAGAACACAGATCTGATTCTCATTTTAGTGTCCTATACTGCAGATTTTCCACCATTATATAGTATGAAATGTGAAGTACATGCTATTTAAGCAGTTAAGATCCCAATTTTTATTTAAATCAAATAACAGCTGTTAAAAATGCTCATTAATATACACAGACAGTAAGATATTCTATTTTTAAATAAATTTAGTAGCACCATAACTATAAGAGGGATGACAAAATTTTTAAACAGAATTTGGCTAGCACTTTCAACACAGAAGCAAACAGAAATATAAGAATTACTTTAGAAACATTTTTACTTAATTTCTTTAATAAATTACTACTCAATTTCCCTTATCTTTAAACTGCATTTTCACATTTAAAAAACTGGTTCAAAAACAGAATTGTAATTTTAAAGGTATTTACCATCCATATGACATATTGATTAATATAATCAGGATCACTGAGTTGATTTATTAATGGAAGAAGAATTCCTCGTGCAAGGATTTCCTAAAAAAAAAAAAAAATTTTTTTAAGTTTAATGTAACAACCTTTTCAAATCAATAACATAATGTAAATGTCCTAACACAATGCCAAATACTTAAGAAAACTATGATACATGTGTAAGTAAAAATTAATAACCAACACATTATTAATATAAAAAGGTGAGCTGAGCATGGACAACATAGTGAGACCCTGTCTCTACAAAAATAGAAAAACAGCGGGGTGTGGTAGTATATGCTTGTAGCTCCCGCTACTTAGGAGATGCTGAGGCAAGAGGATCACTTGAGTACAGGAGTTTGAGGTTACAGTGAGCTATGATGACGGTACTGGACTTTAGCCCAGGCAACAGAGCAAGACCCTGTCTCAAAAAACAAAAAGATATCTCTAAGTACTTTAGTAGTAATATCCACTTTAAAAAGGCAAAACAGACCAGAGGTGTTTATGGATTCATACATCTATATTAAAAGTATAAAAACAGAAAACGAAATGAAAGGATACACATCAATTTTAGAATTGTGGTTACCTTGAGGGTGGAAACAGCAACTACAGTGAAATATTAACATTGGTTAAATGTGGGGTGTTGGTATATAAACGTCTATTGTATTATTCTCTATGCTTTTCTGTTCAAATATTTTCCTAACAAAAATATTAAAAATGTATAATGTTAATACAATCTACTCACCATTCTCTATATTTTCCCATTCTTTGTGGTTATTTATGCTCCTACCTATTAAAATTCTGCCCTTCCTTTAAAAAATGACTATAGATTCAATTATCCTACTAAATAAACCTTGATCATTCCAGGATGAACACTTATTCACTTACATGCTTAAAATACATTCATTGTCTGTATTTACAGTATTTATAACTTGATATTTTCTATATAATTATTATATATTTCTTATACTTCTCTAATAGACCACAACTACCTAAGAACCACCTGTATGTAAGTGGGATTAGTCAACTGATTTACTGATTTATCTATCTTCAAAAATATTTACCTCCTTCTATCTTCTCAAAGTCATTGTTTTAAACATGGCAGGTATTTGATAAATGAATGGAAAGAAAGAAATTAAGAATTTGGTACTGATTCTATAAATACAATGTTTTCACCTGGCATTATCCTTCATTCCTAAATGCCTGTGATATTCAAATTTATAAAACCTCATTTCTTAAGAATACCAGAGAGGCTAAATAACAATAAGGTTAATAGGATATTTCACTTTTCTAAGCAAAGGACGACCAATTTATTTGTTCCTCCTTCCCAGATCTCTAATTTATCTGGGCCATTTTCTGGTATAAGTTCATAGAAGGTGGTCTTTATTTTACTTTAGAAAAGTATTTTGTATAATTCTACTTTTGTAAGCTGTACACATCTCTGACAACAATTTAATGGTACCTCATGATGAATTAGTATCTCCAAAAGGCACTAATGGAGGCACCAGTAATTTTTTGAAATGTCTTTGGAGACACTTTACAGTCCCAAATTACAAGAAATTGCTTCTTTCAAGGTTAGTTTTGACAGGCCCCCACCATGAAAGTTTGAATATTCCTAAAAATGAAAGTCGTAATCTCCCTTAGTCTGTCCTGCAGAAAAACAGATACCAATTTCTGAGGTGTGATTTTATGCTTTATGTTAGTGTTTAAAATACTGTATAGTTTCCTAACACTACCTGCTAGCTTGAGTTCAGTGTACTTCTCAGTATGTTAATGGTACTTATGTGAAATGAGTAGAAAGTGCTTAGTTTTGATTAGAAAAGTCTGATATATACATTGTTAATGCAAATAACAATATATACTTATTTATATAGCCTCTATTTTATAAGGGTGGTAACCCGGGCACATGTCTATTACTAGAATCACATCTGCCACTGAAGGAAGATATTACTAATCAGGTGTAGCACTCACTCATGCTGAATATCCATTTGCATATAGATTCTGCCTTCAAGGTACTCCAGACAGCTACCATTACATGGTATCTCAGCAGCATTTCACGTGGTTTGCCATCTTTTTCCTTACTTGACCTTTATCTTTTCTTTGCTTCCATGTGACTGCTCTCCTGATTTTCTCTCTTCCTTTTGTCTCCATTTAAGTTACATTTATACTCCTTCACTCCTCTCCTGCTTAACTTTTAGTCTTCAGTTCTAGGCACTCTTCTTGTTTGCCCATTCCTGTGGCTTTAAGTACCATCCAAAGCTAATGAGTTCCAAATTTATAGCTTTAGTCCAGAGTTCCCTTCTGATCTCCAGGTTACTTTCACTAGCTGCCTAGTTGAAACCACCACTTCAGTTACTCACAACCCTTTTAGACTTAAATGTCCAACATGGAAGTCTTATTCTTGCCCATACCAGTCCCCTGTCTCGCTTTTATTCTTTTCCTCCATTTCAGTAAATGCAAATTTTTCAAATCCTAAGTCTTTCTAGAGGCTTACAAAATCCCTTGTGGCTTGGCTTTGTTTTTCTCTCTAGCTGTCATGCCATGCAAATACAAGGAAACCAGAGCTAGACAGTAGTTAAAGGGTAAAAACATATTTTATTCAGGAACTATTGGTAATAGGAGAAAAGAGACCTCATATAGAGAAGTGTACTCAATTCCAAATACAGCAAGAACAACTGAGGATTTATAGCCAAGGAACAGGTTGGGAATCAGTGAATAGAAAAAAGGGGAAACGTCAAGGGAAAGGGGAAATTCTGGTTAAACATACTTTAATAGGATTCTTGTTGAAGAAAGGCCAGGAAGATCAGATACCAAGGCTGGAGAGGTATGAGGAATTTGATTAGATATCCCAGGGTAGGGGAGTTCTGGTAAACCCATTTGACAGTATTCTTGCTAAAATTGTACAATGCAGAGATGGACACACATGGAAGCCCAGAGATCAAGGCTAATTGGGAAGAGGATTCAGAGAAGCCTGACTAAAATTTGGTCAAGGATAGAGACTTTTTCAACAGTTACTATAGTCTAGCTACAACTGGCTTTATTACTTAAAGTTTCATTTCCTCCTCCCTATGGGACTGTCTCATACAACTTTTTTCTCCCTGCTCAAAATGATTCCCTTACTCTCTTGGCTAAATTATATTCATCTCCTCCTATTTCACTTAATGTCACTTCCTCAGAGATGCCTCCCTGACCATCTAATCTAAAGCCCCCTGATAATTCCCTATTATTGTAAGTGGTACCCAGTTGTTTCCTTCCTAGCATTTACTTTTTTTTTGTTTTTTTTTGAGGCTGAGTCTCATTTTGTTGTCCAGGCTACAGTGCCGTGGTGTCAGCTTAGCTTACAGGAACCTCAAATTCCTGGGCTCAAGTGATCCTCCTGCCTCAGCCTCTGAGTAGCTGGGACTATAGGCATACGCCACCATGCCCAGCTAATTTTTCTATATAATTTTAGCTGTCCAAATAATTTCTTTTTATTTTTAGTAAGAGATGGATCTTGCTCTTGCTCAAGCTGGTCCGAATTCCCTATCTTAAACGACGTACCCACCTCTGCTCCCAGAGTGCTAGAATTACAGGCGTGAGCCACCACGCCTGGCCTGCCATGTTTTAAAATAGTAATTTGGTTGTGTTTACTTACTTGGTGCCTCTTTCTCCCAAATGAACTGTTAAGTCCAGTGAGGACAGGGACCATACTCTGTATTTATCATAATTAGATGCTTAGTGGTTAACATAATACCCGGCTCAAAGTAGGTGTTCAATCAGAGAATCAACTTTAATGCAAAGAAACACATTTGCCCTCTTGTGGCTATGGTGCAAATGCTACTGCAGCTTTTGAGGATTGCATTGATTCCTAAGTGCCATGAAGCTCTGCCCTGTTATTTGAGGTTGTTAAAAAATAAGTAGGATTTTAATGAGCAAATATGTTTTGCTATAGATTTCCTCAGGCCAATATTTCTTTTTTTTTTTTTTTTTTGGTTGAATCTAATTGAGGGTAATTATAGAACATGTATTCAGCAAATAATTTTTCATTTAATTTGATAGAATTTCTTTGTTAGTTTTCTTTCGTCTGTAATTAAATCCAAGTTTTCCCAACAGGCATTTTTGTTTAGATTTGAGTTCTTTTCTTTATATGGATCCTTTGTATAGATGGTACAAATCACAGTATTTGACTGAGATAATTGCTATTTAACTGCCTCTACTTTCTGGCCATTTTTATATTTTATCATTTAAAGATTCATGGTGTCAGTGACTTTGTATCTTCTAGGCTCCCATATTTGACAGAACTTTCTTCTAGAATTGGAGGCTCTGAAAGTAGGAATTAGATGGATATAGTTACCTACTTTGAGATATTTAGAGCTTTACTAGGATCTGAATAGGAATTATTGAGTCATATGATTAGCCCTTGATTAACCATACCCTTTATGAAACAAATTAGGAGATCAAAGTATTTGTTTTCTAAGACAAATTGACTAATTGCTTTAACTAAGAAGAAACACAAAATTTTCTCAAAATTCTTCCCCGTGTTTTTTTTTTTTCTTATTTTGAAAAGAAACTTTGGAAAAATATTTTTTTTTTTTTTGAGACAGAGTCTCGCTTTTGTTTCCCAGGCTAGAATGAGTGCCATGGCGTCAGCCTAGCTCACAGCAACCTCAAACTCCTGGGCCAAGCAATCCTCCTGCCTCAGCCTCCCGAGTAGCTGGGATTACAGGCATGCGCCACCATGCCCGGCTAATTTATATATATATTAGTTGGCCAAGTAATTTCTTTCTATTTATAGTAGAGACGGGGTCTCGCTCTTGCTCAGGCTGGTTTCGAACTCCTGACTCGAGCAATCCGCCGCCTCAGCCTCCCAGAGTGCTAGGATTACAGGCGTGAGCCACCGCGCCCGGCTCTGGAAAAATATTTTTGTGTGTTTGAATTTTCTCCTTACGAAGTACATTTTAAAATTTGAACACATGTGGCCAAAGACAGAATTTGAGGAAGGAATTACATAAATATAATTTTTAAGAAGTTGGAGACGAAAACTAACCTTGAAAGAAGCAATTTCTTGTAATTTGGGACTGTAAGTGTCT